CCTTTTTTTTTTTTTCTTTTTTTCTCCACTGCAACCAGAGGCAGCGTCTGGCGCGCTGCGGTGCGCTTATGGTGAACTCGCAGCGAGTTTGGTTTTGGTGAATGGTAAAGTTTAGGGAACTTGGCGTTTAAAATGAATCCTGCTGTTAAAGCACGTGCTTTCTGGTGGGGAATTCTTCTGTGGAATCGGAGCGTTTGAAACACATCGATGCATCATCTGGTATTCTGTGCTTTAACACGGGGTGACTGCAGTATGCACGCAGTGGAGTCGTGTGTTGGCAGCACTGGCTGATTGTTTTCCTCAAAAGAAAAGCGTGTAATTGGTGAAAATTGTATTCCTGGTATTTCTTGTCCAGCTTTCTTTATGCTTGAGCAAAGGAGCAGGACCTGGGTCTGGTAGGTGGGTGTTCTCAGGGCAGCCATGTGTCTGGAGTTTGTTTCAAATGCAGTGTGATGGCCTGGGATTGCAACATTTCGTGTCCTTTAGCTTTCCTTTCAACCTGAAAGAAGCACAGTTCCGTACATCGTCTGCCCTAATTAATGATAATTAGAATGCAGCGTATATCAAAAAGATTAAATGTCCCAAGCAGGGGCTGTTCTGCTCACTGCCTTCTCTCCCTTCAGCACAGGCAGCAGTGCCTGTATCGCTTCGATAAGACTGACATTTTTGTTGCAGATTTTTCTCAATTTAGAAGAATGAAGGAAATTTTTGTGTCTGTACTTAATTAAGTTGCTGTACCTTGAAATGAAAGAGGAGAGCTGAGCTGATGATTTGGTTTAGGGTGAAGCACTGCAGAGCTGCAATTAAAAGTAGATCGTACGTTCATCTTTAGTAGCAACTTGCTGCTGTGTGCTGTCTTTTTTAAATCGAAGCACTTTTTAGGTAAAAAGAGATATTTTGGTCTTGTGAAGATTGCAGTTTAAGTTTATAAATAATTCAGGAAGTGAATCTGTCAGTTATCTTACAGTTAATTTTGTGTCATTATTTTTCTTTTTTCCTCTCTAATTTAAACAGCTTATTTAAGTGGTGCAAGAGAGGTTCAAATGGATGTCTATACTAGAGCAATACACTGCTGTTTTGCTGAAGGAAGGTAGTAATGTTCTGGTCTCTGGGATGGAGAATCTGAAGATAAGATTAGCAATTTTACATTTCCTTTTATTTTAGGATGGCAGTATTGAAGACCAGTAGAAAAAATGAAATTGTTTTGCTGAAGTGCTGTATTCTAAGCACAAGACCACGTAGTTTCTTCACTCAGAGGGTGGTGGGGCACTGGAACAGGTTGCCCAAGGGGGTTGTGGATGCCCCATCCCTGGAGGGGTTCAAGGCCAGGCTGGATGTGGCTCTGGGCAGCCTGGTCTGCTGGTTGGCAACCCTGCACATAACAGGGGGTTGAAACTAGATGGTCATTTTCAACCCAGGTCATTCTATGATTCTGTAGTTTAGTTGCAGTGTTCGTGTCACAGTGCTGCATTCTGGGCTGGAGTTTTCTCACGTGATTCATTGGAGCACACCGTTGTTGAGACATTTGCTCTGCCACGTGAGTGAAAAGTCTCTCTAAATAGTTAAAACGCACTGTAGGGTTTCTGCCAGTGGATGGGTTCATGTAACAGTGTGCAGAAGCACTCCGTCGGTCGCTTTGCACATTCTAACAGATGATTCATGGAACATGACCCTATAGTATATTTTCAAAGGAGGGATTAAACGTGGAAGGCCAGCTAGTCTGCGGGCGCATCAGAGTGAGGTAACACAGTTCAGATAATGCCAGTCGCTCGTACCTCTGTATTCCATGCCATTATTTCATAATCATTTAATGAGATATTTAAGTGTTGCTGTTGGTTTTCTGGGCGTATTCTGAGTGTATTCAAAATTCTGGAGGCAAGCAAGACACAAACCAGTTGTATCACTACAGGTTCTGCGTGGTGCTGCAGAGGGGGAGCCGATTAACCCTGAGCATAGTGGAAACCATTTCTCATGAAGGACATTTAAAAGAAAAACTGAAATGTTTCCCTGTTTGGAACAGTAATACTGAAGAGTTGTTTTAGCCTCTTTCCTATCGTTTTGATAGAGTGCATTAATGCAGACACTTCATTTGCAAATCTTGTGAAAACAAGGTAAGCAGAAGAAAGGATACCGTAGCAGAATGAATCATTTATGCTTGTTTTGCTCTCTCACCGTTCGGGTGGTGTCAGATTAACTCGCTGTCATTTGAAGTGCCCCATGTTGCCCCCAGAACCAGCACCAGTAAAAACCAGTAGGGCTTGTGTTCAGAAGGAGCCGAACAAGCTTATGAGCAGCTCATGCTCACCCAGGCCTGGCAACCAGAATAACTGGAACCTGGCTCCTGAGCGCAGCCAGCTCTGCACATGGTGCTGTGGGGTGCCTGAGGCTGGAGCTCGCTCTGGAGGGGTGAAAAAGTCTGCAGGCATGTATCATCTCTGCAGTGTATGGCCTGAGGTTTGTGAGTGGTGGTGATTGGGAAATCAGCGTCTCCAAAAAAAAAAAAAAGGCTATTCTACAGCTGGAGATGTTCCTTGTGTTGTCCTTGTGTCTGTGCAGATGTGTCTAGTGTCCTTGCAGGCAGAAAGATATGCTGGAAGAGAGGGCAGTGTGGATCCTGTCGGTCAAGTTCCTAAAATGGATGGAAAGCTGTGGCTTGGGTGGGGGCACTCAGAACACAGTGTGTTGCAGGAGGGGCATTGCCTTCTGCTGTTGTGCTCAGTTGAGTTTTGGTGTTCTGAAGGTCTGATGATGAAGAAGGTGGATTGGTGGCTCCTTTTTTCTGTTTTAGGAGTCCCTCTTCCATAACACAGGACTGGTTGGGAAGGTCCTGCTGCCAGAGCTGTTGCTGATGGAACCATCCTGGGCTTCCATGCTCCCCAGAGCTCAGGCTGCAGACAGAGCTGAGTTAGGTAGCCAGGAGGTATCATTTGTCTCTCTGAAATGTGAATGGTGAATCCCCGTAGTACGGCGTGTGAGTGTGGGCTGCTTGGCTTTAAAAAGGAAGTCTGGGAAACCTGACATAGAGCTTAAATTTGGAAGTGCGTGGCGGGTGTGTGGCAGCATGCAAATAATAGAAAGAAATCCACGCCTTTCGTGAATCACTCCTATACATTCTGTGAGTTTTAATTTATAGCCCTGATAGTGAGACATTTTAGAATGGAACTTACTACTTGCTTATTAATAAATAAACTTTTTTTGGCAGTCATGCAGACACACTGCTTTCTCCATTTGCATAGCTGGTAAAATAGCTGTGAAGTTAAGTGGGGTTTTGCTTATAGGTAAACTATGCTGTCTGATTGCTGCTCAGTGCTATATGCACAACGTGCTGTGTAGTACAAAACGGGCAAAGCTGTTGTAATAGAACTTGCTGGCCTGGGGCCACTGGATTATAGTCATTTGTCACTCTAATGCCATTTCAGCAATGTAGATGTTCATTTCCAAAGAATTAAACATGCTGGAACTGCGGTTTTCCATGGAGGTGGTTTATGTGTGATCATTAAACATACAACCCGGGATTATGGAACAAAGAGTTATGCTTCATGGTATAAAAAAAAAAAAAGTGTGTGTGTACATATATATACACAAACACTCCATAATGAAGAAGTTAATAATTTAAAATAGGGTTTATAAACTTTGATTTATGAAATTGTGATTTATAGGTTTAACTCTGTATTTTAAACATTATTCCCAATAATGGTGCCATGTGGATTGTTTTTAAAACACTTTAAAAGGATTTTGCCAGACCAGTGCTCATGGTGATATATTCATTAAGTCTCTCACAGTAAAACATTGAAGTACATTAGTCCTTTTCATTCTTTATTTGACTCCCTAACGTCTAATTTAATTGCAGATGTTCTTGACATTTTAAATATGTTTAAGAACTTTTCCTCCTTGTTTGACAGCGTAAGATCTGGGGACCTCAGTGCAAGAAAGATGCAGAGCTCTTGGAATGAGTCTAGAAGAGGGCTGCTAAGATGATCAGAGGGCTGGAGCACCTCTCTTGCGAAGCAAGGTTGAGGGAACTGGGCTTGTTTAGCTTGGAGAAGAAAAGGCTCTGGGGAGACCTCATTGTGGCCTTCCAATACTTGAAGCGAGCGTATAAACAGGAGGGGGAATGGCTGTTTATGAGGGTGGATAGTGATAGGGGACAAGGGGGAATGGTTTTAAACTGAGACAGGGAGGTTTAGGTTGGATATTAGGAGGAAGTTTTTCACCCAGAGGGTGGTGAGGCACTGGAACAGGT